AATCAACTGTTGTTATTGTTATAAACAGCTTCCTGGTGCTTCGGATCTCATTAACTGTTTAATAATTGTAAAGAAAGCCGCAGGAGATTGAGAAAAAGATGGACAGGTTCGTAAGTGCTTGCGTAACTGCTTCGTGAATCTGGCCCCAGTTCTTTCTGGTAACGTGCCGTATAGCCTCTTCTTCTATGATCCGCCCCAAGTCAACAGTAAGTGCTCAGTAACTGGCAGTAGCAAGTAATAGTGCAAGGAATGAAGGGGATAAACAAGGTACAATTACACCTTAACCGATATATTATCTATCGAAGTATAACTACACTTACGTACACAGTGTCGCTTTCACCCAGAACACTCAATGTATCCGCAGTGTTCTTCAACACCCGGTGAGTCCGCTATCTTCCAGTACACGTCGTCCACGCTCAGTGGTAATCAGCGGCGAGGTCACCTTCCTCAACATGGGCGCCAGTCCACACACTGTATCGTCACGGTGTCACAATACATCTGCTCTCCAGAAACACCCTGGGTAGAGGGCTTCAGCAACACATTAGCAACACTTCTCAACAGACGGCCACTACTGCCTTCTTGTAACTCCTCTTGACTAAATCCTGCGTACGTCGGTCCACACAACACTACACAAGTCCAGCAGCTAACACACTGCTACTACCGACGGCGGTCACTTGTCCTCTCACAGGACCAAGTCAAGACTCCTGGACTGCCCAAGGTGAACTGATTTTGATAATGCAATTGATTCCTGCGTCTCACCTGCAACCCATCCTCTGAATAGAGAGTACGTTTTAATACTAAATGTAATAAGTACATTCTTGACTGTCTGCATAGTACATAAATGCACTTAATTGTGCTGTTACATTTACCTCCCCATTTTCTGTTAATACACTAAAAAAAATTTAGGATGAAGTTTTTGTGTTCATTTCTATATACACAAGTTTTAAATATAAAGAATTATTTCTTCAGTTTTATTAAACAATAGAGATTTTATACAAAATTTGAAAATATCCTGAGTTACTTTATAATTTATTGAAAGACTTTAGTTTTGTTTTATTAATTTTATAAAATTGTAATATCAATATAGCTATAGGTTAAGTACTTAATTGTAATTAAGAAGGAATAAATGCTATTTACATGCTTGTCCTCCTACACTCCCAAGGTTAGGTTAGGTCGTGGTTTTCTATACTCTAATATTCACAAAATTTTGGTGCGATTAAGTGTATTTATGTACTATGCCGATAGTCAGGATTGTACTTATTACATTTAGTATTAAAACGTTCTGTCTATTCGGAGGAGGAGCTGCTCACCTAATACCTGGAAGTTGGAGTGCGGGTCCATAGATGGCGCCGAAATCGCCACATCTCACTCCATAGAAAGCGATATCGCGGTGATATCGTGACACACTCAACACGCACTCCCGGCTGCCTCTCAACCCGTGGTACCCACCAATTCCAGATCATCCTCACACATATATATATGTTATGGTTATGGAGCAACGTTGTGCGTAGATGTAGTCTGGTGAGAGTGACGCAGGGATGATGCTGGCAGGATGCTCACGGCTAAGGATGAAGGCGCGAGATAACCAGTCATTATACAACCTGTTATAATGAACTTTCTCTAGAGCACCGTCCATGGTGGTCCCCCCTCCCCCCCCCCCTCCTCAGGAACACTTCACACACCACCAGCGTGTATGGATATGGATATCTAACCCACCTGGGAATTATGGGAATCAGAGATTGACCTGTTCCACCACCCTGAGTGTCTATCGTCACTCACAGTAACCTGTCCCACCACCTGAGTGTCTGGCGTCACTCACAGTGACCTGTCCCAACACCCTGAGTGTCCGGCGTCACTCTAGTACTTAGTTACAGCAGCTTGTCCCCTAGTATACTCTGGCATTAGTCTACTGCGTGTCCGAGGTACTCCCAGAGTTGTCCCTACACGCCCACACAGCACGTGCAGGGGCGGCCTACTCCCTGAAGCGGACTGGTGATACAAGGGTCGTGGTCCCTGCTGTAGGAGCCTGTGACTGGTCCGTAACTCTCGTGGTCGTCTTCTCCACGTCCAGCCTCCACTACCCGTCGTGTGCCGCTGGTTGGTGGGCCTTACATGGTGCCCAACAGGTTACCCAGTGCTGTGAGAGGGTCTGCCGCCCTGACCTACCATACACTGGCTTCCCTGGGCCAGGATCCTACATCAGCCGGCAGGAAACTCTGGGGCGAGTCATCACTGGGGTTCCAACTCACGCTTTTGATAAGTTATTACTTCGTGACATGCCCCTCCTCCTGCCCCCCGCCCCCCCCCTTCCTCATGCCCTCAGGCAAGAGAGCGGACCTCAACAAGAGGTGAAGGCCTCTGGGCGTGGCACTCGTCAAGTGCCTCTCTGACAGGTGTTGACACTGACGTGTGACCCAAACTTCAGTTCCTGACCCGTCGGCTCCACCTCGCGGCTCTCACTTCTTTATGACCAGACTTTGTGTTGATTACTCTGGCAGGTCTGGCCCATCCCCAGGGGAGGGGCAGGTCTGGCCCATCCCCAGGGGAGGGGCAGGTCTGGCCCATCCCCGGGGGAGGGGCAGGTCTGGCCCATCCCCCCCCCTAGGGGAGGGGCAGGTCTGGCCCATCCCCAGGGGAGGGGCAGGTCTGGCCCATCCCCAGGGGAGGGGCAGGTCTAGCCCCATCCCCGAGGGGAGGAGCAGGTTTGGCCCATCCACGGGGGGAGGGGCAGGTCTGGCCCATCCCCAGGGGAGGGGCAGGTCTGGCCCATCCCCAGGGGAGGGGCAGGTCTGGCCCATCCCCGGGGGGAGGGGCAGGTCTGGCCCATCCCCCCCCTAGGGGAGGGGCAGGTCTGGCCCATCCCCAGGGGAGGGGCAGGTCTGGCCCATCCCCCCCCTAGGGGAGGGGCAGGTCTGGCCCATCCCCGGGGGGAGGGGCAGGTCTAGCCCCATCCCCGAGGGGAGGGGCAGGTCTAGCCCCATCCCCAGGGGAGGGGCAGGTCTAGCCCCATCCCCAGGGGAGGGGCAGGTCTGGCCCATCCCCCCCCTAGGGGAGGGGCAGGTCTGGCCCATCCCCGGGGGGAGGGGCAGGTCTAGCCCCATCCCCGAGGGGAGGAGCAGGTTTGGCCCATCCCCGGGGGGTGGGAGGGGCAGGTCTAGCCCCATCCCCGAGGGGAGGAGCAGGTTTGGCCCATCCACGGGGGGAGGGGCAGGTCTGGCCCATCCCCAGGGGAGGGGCAGGTCTGGCCCATCCCCAGGGGAGGGGCAGGTCTGGCCCATCCCCGGGGGGTGGGAGGGGCAGGTCTAGCCCCATCCCCGAGGGGAGGAGCAGGTTTGGCCCATCCACGGGGGGAGGGGCAGGTCTGGCCCATCCCCAGGGGAGGGGCAGGTCTGGCCCATCCCCAGGGGAGGGGCAGGTCTGGCCCATCCCCAGGGGAGGGGCAGGTCTGGCCCATCCCCCAGGGGAGGGGCAGGTCTGGCCCATCCCCGGGGGGTGGGAGGGGCAGGTCTGGCCTCCCCGGGGGGTGGGAGGGGCAGGTCTGGCCTCCCCCGGCGAGGTCCGGCAGAGGAGCGAGGCCTGACACACCCCCACGGGTGAAGGGACCCATATACATACGTACACTTACAATATAAAGAGGAAATATAACATTTGCTTCAATATTAGTGTTTAATTTTGATTGTGAATAAACACTTTTATGAGACGTATTTTATAACGATATATGATAAAGTTCTCACTCAAATTTGCAGGGGGGATGGTCTGGGGTACGGGAGGAGCATAGGCTGGTCGGAGTTGGCTTAGGTTGAATGCTTTAAGAAATATTATCAGTTATAAACGCCCCTGAAGCCAGTTACACGGAGTTAAGCATGAACTATAGAGAGTGATTAGCGTAGAGTTGTGAACTATTAATGTAGATTTGTGAAATATTGGGTGAGATTAACGTAGAGTTGTAACTAAAAAAAGAAAAAAGAAAACCTTCTTGCGAGATGGGGACTTGTATTACCACTGCTGCCTTATTCAATCTTGTGTTGTTGATATCCTCAAAATGCATCCGGAGTCTGCCAGTGCAGACCGCTTATCACATGCCTCTGTATGACTAACCGTCCTGTGTGATGGGGATTTTTTAGCATCACGTAGTTAGTTTTTTTTGACACCCTGTACTGCCCTTCATATAGTCTAGGGCAGCTAGTTCTTGACACACCCTGTACTGCCCTTCATATAGTCTAGGGCAGCTAGTTCTTGACACACCCCTGTACTAGTTCTTGCCACCCTTCATATAGTCTAGGGCAGCTAGTTCTTGACACACCCTGTACTGCCCTTCATATAGTCTAGGGCAGCTAGTTCTTGACACACCCTGTACTGCCCTTCATATAGTCTAGGGCAGCTAGTTCTTGACACACCCTGTACTGCCCTTCATATAGTCTAGGGCAGCTAGTTCTTGACACACCCTGTACTGCCCTTCATATAGTCTAGGGCAGCTAGTTCTTGACACACCCTGTACTGCCCTTCATATAGTCTAGGGCAGCTGCACTAATGCACATGTTCCTAAATGTGTTAATAATAATAATAAAAAAGAAGCGAAGTGGAACAAAAGCAGAGATGTGTGACGTACACATTTATGTACTACATGAGAGGGAAGGAATGGAGGGGGGGGGGGTGGAGAGATAACTAGATAAAGAGTATGCAGAGATAGGGGGTTTGTAGAGATAGACATATGTGAGTTAATAGAGATGGGGCAAACAGTCAGAGAGACCCGGGCAGTGCCGGATCCCCCCCATTCCCCCCAAGCATGTATTCTTATTACAATTTTTGTAGCCTGGCCCGGGCCCTCATACCAGGCTCTGTACCGTCAATGTAATCATTCTCGGGTAGATGGCGACATGAGTGTCCCCGCGCCATGCAGGGGGTACTGAGCTAGCGGCACCACGCAGGCTCCCCACGTCCCTGCTCCACATTAGGAGTGCGAGAGTTGGTATATTAATGTGTAACTCTTCATGTTTCAGGTGCACAACAGCCAGCGTGTTATTGCTTCTGGTTGGCCTCGGGTCTTGCAACGAGATCAACAGTGCCAAGACAGACAGTGTTGCCGGTGCAAGTGAGGCAGCGGAGAACACCAGCAACGTCAGTCCTCCGGGCGACGCCGAGAGAGACAGACGCCAGGTGAACCATCTGCTCCAGGCTTACAGGTGAGTCGCTTGCTCCCTCAGTCGGGACACTTGGTCCACGGGGGCGGAACCCCCGTTATGACACGGGGAGATCAACCCCACTTGGTCCACAGGTGCGGAACCTCATCATTTAGAGGTAAAAGATCAGCCAGACTCAGCAGTTGAAGTGATCCTGGCTGTGTAAACTAGACAGTAAGAAATACAGTTGGAGCCATGTTGTGGTGCGGACCAAGATGATAATATCCGTCCCTCTTCAACAGACCGTACGGGGTGTTGTCCCCCCACACACCGACAGCCTTCCTGACGCCCTTCTCCATCTTCGCCGCCCGCCCCACCTTAGTGGCGTCACAGGTCCTCAACTCTCAGCGCCTGGAGGTCGTCCCCGGCCCACGACGACCCTCACCCTTCACCACGCCGTTTGCCACAAGAGGCAAACCCTCGGTATGTTTATGATGCTGTTAACTCTCTGCGGGTGTGTGAACCTTCACTCTTACATCACTGTAAATGTTTCAACCTCAATAACAAGACACAATGATGAATACAGAATATATATATATTTTTTTTTTGTTTTGAGATATATACAAGAGTTGTTACATTCTTGTAGAGCCACTAGTACGCGTAGCGTTTCGGGCAAGTCCCTGGAATACGATCCCCGCCGCGAAGAATCGTTGTTACAACCAAGTACACATTTTACTGTTGCGTTAAACAGAGGCTACAGTTAAGGATTTGCGCCCAGTAAATCCTCCCCGGCCAGGATACGAACCCAGGACAAAGCGCTCGCGGAACGCCAGGCGAGTGTCGATATTACTGGGGATGACCACGTCTGTAAGTACAGGCGAAAATAACAGAACCAAAAATACAAGTTCTGTGTATAAAATGTTCTTTACAAGTAGCTTGAACCCGAGGGTCTCTATACGGGCGAGGCTCGAAACCTTGACCATCTCACGGATGCTCGAAGCGGTTCAGACCGTTCGTGGGTTCGTCTCCTCAGCCTCAGTAATCTGGATGGACCTTTAAGCCTGTTGGTTTGACATCATAGTTTATATGATCAGTTAATTATGTATTTTAGAGCTTGAAGCTTCCATACATATACACATATAGAAGGTTCCATACATATACACATAGAAGGTTCCATACATATACACATAGAAGGTTCCATACATATACACATAGAAGGTTCCATACATATACACATAGAAGGTTCCATACATATACACATAGAAGGTTCCATACATATACACATAGAAGGTTCCATACATATACGCATAGAAGGTTCCATACATATACACATAGAAGGTTCCATACATATACACATAGAAGGTTCCATACATATACACATAGAAGGTTCCATAAATATACACATAGAAGGTTCCATACATATACACATAGAAGGTTCCATACATATACTCAATGTTTCACACATATACACATAAAAGGTTTTATTATATATATATATATATATATATATATATATATATATATATATATATATATATATATATATATATATAAATCTACTATCAAATCTGCTAATAAATAAATCTACTAATCTACTAATACTAATAACTAATACTAATATTAATATAATACTAATACTAATAAAATACTACTACTAAATCTACTAATAAATCTGCTATCAGAATAATATCAAATTCTGCTTTCAGACAACACTCAGCCCACTTGTTTAACTCCCTAAACATGCTAAACATAATCTCACTCCACAAATTCTCCTGTGTCAACTACATTTACAAAACCCTGTTCTTAAATGCAAATCCTGCTCTGAAACTCTCCCTGGACAGATGTAATAGGACCCATTATCACCACACCAGAAATAAATATCTCTTTGATATCCCCAGAGTTAAACTTAATCTGTGTAAACACTCTATGCAAATAAAGGGACCCAGTTTATGGAACTCACTCCCTACTGAAGTGAAAAGCTGTCCAACTTTTACATCATTCAAAATCAATACTAAAAAGTACCTAATTTCATCTTCATAGTTTTTCACTCTTTGCCTTAAAATTGCACTGTATCAATTGCTACCCAATCTCCCAACCTTTATGTTCCCAATTTGAACATCTTTACCATTGTGATCATTGCTGTCTTCTTATATGTGCTGCCAATCTGTTGTATGGTGTTTATAAATCTTGTTTAAATTACCAATCAAGCTGTCAATGTAATCAATCAGAGCTTTAATATAACAATGTGCTTTAATATACTTACTAATCTCTCTCATCTCATTTTTCTCTTGCAATGTATTTGTTATCATTTATCAATTCTGATAGAAATTACCTACTTAAAATTATCTGTTAGATTAAGGACCTGCCCGAAACGCTGCGC